GCCGTGCGACGTGTGACCTTGTGCTCTGGTAGGACAAGGAAAGTTCCTCCTTTTTGCCACACATTTACTGTAATTAGGTCCATCGCCATCATCTTCATGACGCGTATGTTTAAGGCTGAGGCGCAGAAGAGACAAAGAAAAGTAAGACCCGGCAAAGAATCATTGGAGTAGAACTTTCCATCATGTCGATTGATGCAAAATTCGTGGAATTTGTGGAAGAAATGAAACAATAACCTTGCTGTCCGATTAAGCATAACCATACATGTAGTACAGTGATGGAATGCCACCAGATCTCTCCAAGAATGTACAGATGACAATCGGTGGGCGACTTGATCTGCGATCGGTAGCCATACAACGATACTCTCGAACGGCCACGAATCCCAAGTCGGACTATTAATTTGGGCTTCTCAAGATGGGTATAGATCTTCGATCATTCGAAGTTTGCAAGACGCCATCAACTGTCATTGAAGCCAGTGTTTCCGATAGCCCGGATTGCAGTCCATTGTAAGATCCTAATTTTGAGATTCTGGAGACATCATCAACAAATTCTCAAGTTCGACGTTTGAAGTCATTTTGATAATGAAAACTAATTCACTATCTAAAATAGTCTCAATGTTATCAAGGTATTGGATACTCCAACGCTTCGATTGCTGCACTCCAGTCTGGACTATTGGACTCTCTGATTGAAGCTGGATAGAAGTCAGTTTCTTGTGATATGGGGATAGGAAGAACGAGATCTATACTCGTGCAAATTGAATGACTTTAGTTCATCGTGGCCTCCTATAACTTGTGTTCTCGAGGCCAAGTTTTGTTTTTTCCATAGTGCGAGGAAGTTCTAGAACTTGAACCAGATCAAATAGTCGCACATCATCCGGATCGAGCCGAAAATGCGTGTGTCAGAAGTTCATTCGGGTGTAGCCCGAACAGTTAGGAATAAGGAATCCGATTGTGCACACAATTACTGAGTTGTTGGGGGCTTTTTTCTTTCATAGATCAGAAAATGATAGATGTGGATGCACTGTGAAAACGGTGAACAATGTTGTGGAGCTTCATTTGCGTCACGCAAGAAGTAAAGCCTTCCCTCATGACAAATATTTTGAGTGGATGGAGGAAGCCACAAAACCTAGGAAACCATAGGATTTTGTAAATCTCAGCTTCTCAGCTTCTCAGCTTCTCAAAATGCCGATGATGCTAGCCTCGCAATTGCGCGACGAGTGAAAAGTATCTGCACGACATACATATATGCTCAACTCACCGCTCATGTAGGTAGCTTATCAATTGTACACTCCGCGTGAGAATAGAGTTTTGTTTTTGTTTTTTTTCGAATCCACCTGTCCATCTCAAAATCCAATGAATTGACCATTGGGCCTAAGCCGAACATGCCGCGGAGACAGGCAGAGGAAAGCACTTATCTTATTGGGCGGACAAATGAAAGGAAGATGCGAATACCCAGCGTCTTTGTAATCTTCGAGTCACACACACGCATGGTGGCTCAAATGAGCTTCGGAAGCACTGAGATGGGTAATTCAAAGGATAATAGATAGCAAGAAACTTCGAACACATATCTAGTCACTCTCGAGTCTCGATGGATGAAATGCAACTCAAATGAAGATTTTCCGGCAGTTCTGGAAAAAGGGGGTCTGGTCATGTCCGAGAAGAATTGATGACGGGAAGATCCCACAGCAAGGTTACCGCCACTAGCCGGCTATCAACACCGAATTTGAATACCAAGAGAGTGTAAAGGTACGAACAAGCGCTTGATGAGTGATCATTAATAGAAATGCGTATATCAGTCGAGCTGCACAATGCATACACTTCAGCGTAGACGAGTAAAGGGATGAGAGGGTTACGGCGGGAAACTTGTCTCGAGACTCTTTTTGTCAACATCCGTCGTAGAAAGAAAGCAGGCAGGCAGGCAGGTTGCAGGTCTGTAGCCTCCCCTTGATTTCTCCTGGACTTAGTCCTATGGCCAATTAGATTCTTTATACCTACCCAACACGTGCGCAGGAGGATTTCATTGTGCGGCAGGCGTGCACTGTTCAAGGAGTGCCCCGTCAATTGTAGGCATGTCATGGTCCCTGAAAACTACGACGGAGTAGGTGGATACTGTCAAACTACCCAGGTATCTAGTTCTCTTGGTATCTAGCTTGGCCGAAGACCCCCCCCCCTCGTCTTTATCCATTCGGGATCTGGAAGAGGTAGTGGTATCACTCCAAGTATTGAGTACTAGGTGGGTAGAGACGCACTTCATATGTGATCCTGCCATATACACACATACATGTACATGGACGAGATCATATGGGAGGTACAACCAAGGAGAATTAATGTTATAGAACGAATTCGAATAGGGGATTTGATAATGACAGTGAGCCAATGAAAGGCGAGCCATTTGTGCTCAAACTCCCCCAAAAGAAATACCAAAGAAAAGTCTCAGAAGTAGCCGTATACGAATACGACTAGCACTGTTAACCTACGACCTGCTAGACGTGCTAAATAGAATAAGCAAGAGAGCCTCCAGATCTACCGACCTAGAGCTCGTCGACCGGTGTATCGACGGCGTGGTCTATGATCGACCACACCAAGGACTGTATCGAGTGTCTGTGTAGAGTACGTGGTAGGTATATCTCAGAGCAAGCTAAACTTCCAAACTTTAACCCATTTGCAAGTCTGTCCACTCAATCCACTCAATCCACACAACTCACCCAAAACAGAGAAGAAACCCCCATATAGTAGATGGCCCTGGAGTGTCTCAACTTAGTAGACCGGACCGAGAAACCCTGATTGAAGACGACGCTGAATCTTGGTGAGTACCTGAATCATGTAATAGAGTAGAAACCATGCTATAAGAAAATTGTACCCGTAAGGCTACCTATCAACCTACTTCCGGTCGACTATCAATTTGATAGTGTCCTTTCATTTACTATTGGGAATAGTACTTCGTAAGTAGATAGACATTTGCTAATTTATAAATCCTAATTCCTCCCTCCTCATTCGCTCCATACTCCCCCTCTCTAATTGCATTTCCATTTTATTTAATCTTAATTTTATTTCTTTTTCATAGGTAGCTATTTGGTCCAAATTTTTGCTCTCTTTTCGCACCTCCACTTATTACGTCTAGATGCAACCATGCATTGTACTCGCAGTCTACACCTTCTCGACCGTTCCTCCTTCATCTTGTTCTCTTGCTCCGTCATGAAAAGTATAAGTACTCTACTGTACGCTCCTATTGGCATAGAGCTTTTCTTCAGATATTATGACCTTTCTCGACACGGTCTTATAGCATAACGACCTGTTTGATTTAGCATCAACGTCTATTCCACACTAGAAATATAATACAACTCGGGTCAGTGATTGTATTATATATGTTACCGATTCGGAACTTTGTTGTCCTTGTCGCGCCATAATCATCCACTTTGATTCGACCGATAACGGGTACCTTTCTTCATAACGAGTCCTGTATTGTTTATATGATCCGAGTCTTTGGCGTTTGGTACACACAGCATTCATTCGATACTCTCTTAACACCTTTACTAATGCATATCCTCTTATAACAGAACGGCGATGGCGTATCATTCCCAGGCTGGGCCATCTAACCCAAATCTTCATGCTCAACAACAATACCAGCAAGGATCCGCAGGTTACGGCGACCCTGCCGGGGGAAACGGAGATAGAGTCCAAGAACAAGAGGCAGGTTTTGATACAGTTAATTGGTACCGACATTACCTACAGTGCCATCACTACTTTCTCGACCAAGCTCAACATGATTTTTATGTTCAGGCCGTGGCAGCATTCATAAACATTCAGCTGCCGTATCAAAAGCAACCCTACCCAGTTCATCGAGCTTCGGCCGCATGGTCTTTGAAGAATCTTTCCGATCGCCAACAAGAGGAAGAACCCCGCCCTACCCCAGGGTATCCGCAAGCAATCTCCTTGATCCCGTACATAAGAAGATTGATAGTCACTGGTCACGATGATCCTCGAATCATGGGAACTTGGTTCGGTGCTAATTGGGTTCAAGGGATAGGGACCATACATGAACTGGAGCGACGCAATTACCTTTTCGCATCAAAAAGTAAGGAATGGCTTGATGTAAAGAAATACTACGATGATTCGCAGGCTGCAGAACAATCAACGCCTTACATGATTCCTCTACCGAGAATTACAGAGGCAGAGCTTTCCTCTGCGGATGAAGCTTGGAGTGGGTGGATGGCCATGCAGGATTGGGTGATCGGTCCCAGAACACCGCAGAGTTTGATGCCCCCTTCACGTTCACGCACGCCGCATTATAATTCACCACGGATCAAGAAGGAGAGTGACTTAGATAACTAAGAGTTACAGCACAAATAGGGGGTTTAATTGGGGCCTCTGGGCTTGTTCTTGTTGGAGCATTAAGGTGATAAGTTTACAGGAGATCACGCTGGCAATAGGCGTTATAGATATCCAGGAAACGGGTCGTAACATGAGGTTTGTGACATTTTGGTATCAGGTTTTAGTCGCAAGTTCTTCTCTCGTATTCTGTACAATAAAACATCATTCACATACCTGAAAGCCATTTTGCCAATGCTAGAGTTGTGATGTGCTGCTTATCATATTTTCAAAAACCCATTGCGTCTACCCACCTGCATAAAAGTAAATTTATAAGTCATGGGGGGAATGGTTCAGCCGTGCCAGGGCTCTAGGCGCTAAGACAAGGCTGATAGAGCAATAATTCAATGATTGGTCTCCACAACTACGTGCATTATCGGTGGGCGCTCCATTCACCCATGGTCTGAACTTTAATTCTAGATTCACTGACACACACACACACACACTCACACACTCACTCACTCACTCACTCACTCACTCAAATCCTTTCTTTACTTTATCATTATTTCACGTTTTGTATTCTTACTATCAACCTCTCTTATTATACCTCAATCTAATAGCAAAACCTTTCAATGTGTGTATGCGACGGGTGTAATGGGCATTTACTGATCTAAATTGCATGGTACGATTTGAAAATGACCACACAAGCTGCCGTCGCAAATTGGCAAACGTTACTGAACAAAAGCCTTGCCTCGAGGCTTGACTTCGAACCTTTCACAGATTACATTCGTATACTATATTCGAGGAACCCACTACCATCTCCATATATATGCGAGATCTTTCTACGTCCCCACAAACACAACGATATACATGTCGATCCACGAGTACTACGTTATGTACAAATATTGCTAGCAGAAGGATTTATTGATTGCGCCGGAATTCTTCGAGTCTTGTTGAGATATTCTTCACTCTGGAGTTTTATGCAAGATGGGCACATGCATAGCGAAGCCAACAATGGCGCAGACAAGACCAAAAGAGTGAAGGGAGGAAGCAGGAGGTGGAAAATGTCATATTCTGCCGAAGAGATGATGTTGTACCGACTTGCGAAAACAGTCTCCACTGGTATAAGGCCTAAGAATGTCCAAGAAGCAGTCTACCTACTGGTGATATGTATTCAATGGATGGAAATGGTCGCTACCAGTATGGGTAGAGGGACACACGAGATATTGAACATCGACGCTCATGTGGAGGAGATTGGAATGGTCGGTATGGCTTTGGGAACTTTAATGGTCGCTGTGGTTGGGAACACGAAGGTTTTAGGGGCCATACAAAATGGTCGCTGCCCAAAAGGCATGTCTGCTTCATTCTGTCGTCTAAATACTGCCGCGCAGATGCTTACTTTAACCAACAGGGACCGGAATTGACCTCGGAAAAGCTTTGGCTAGGTTTGTTCCTTTGTTACTCCAGAGCTCCCCACAGAATATACAACGATTAGACGTATTCCGAACACAAACTCTGATCACGATTCTACCCGTTGACAAGAAGGAGCGAGCCGCCAATGCTGAGATTAACGAGATTTTGGATTCCACAATTGGGATAAACATTGACAATATCGCGGTCGCTGATCTACCAACTGTCAACTCTCGGGCGGGTCTATACATTTATTTGAATTCTATTGTAAGCATCATGATGTTTATAATGAGTATCTCCGACATAAACTGACCGATTCTAGCTTGTTGGTAGGCCCCTCATCGATGACAGTGCAATTTTTGCCTATTTGCACAATAGATATCAGGTAATTCCAGCCAATAATCCTGTAAAATCAATACTGATCATTGCAAGGGAGATGTCCAATCAACGACGGTAGATCTTATACTTGCATCGTTTGATGTATTGGCCAATGCAACCTTTCGAAACGAAGGGCCACAAACCACAACCATACTACGATCATTCTTGATCAACAAAGTTCCCTTACTCGTCTCAACACTCGCAACATCCTTTTTCCCACCGTTAACATCTGAATTTTGCATCACGGAAGCCTTGAGTCATGTCGATACTAATGCATTCCCCACACTTTCTACTCTGTTTGCAGAGTCGACTAATAATGACATGTTCTCAGACTCCGTTAGACAGGACTTCTGCTTCGCTTGCTGTTTACATGGCTTAATTCCGGAATCCAGTATTGAAACCCTGCTAGGTGATATACCTATGCAAAGTTTACCCGCCGGTGGGAGGTATTCTAAGCAGGATCTTGTTCAACAATGTCTTTCTAACTCGGAGCGAGCCGAAGGGTTGATTTCCGAGTTGGACAATATGGACGGAAATGCTGGCGCTGTTAGTCAGGCAATTGCAGAGGTATGTATCTCGGCTAGCTCCTCATAACCATGACTAATTTATACCAGGTTATAAAACATATGTGTGGTAATAAGGAGACAATGACCTTGAAGACCTTATGCAGTCAATTGGCCCGTAATCCATCCTCTTTGGATATAATGCTTCTCTTCAATAAGCCTACATCCTTTTTGCAGCCAATCTGCGAGCTCCTTGATAATTGGCGATATGATGAAGACCAGGGAGAATATCAACCTGTATATGAAGAGTTTGGATCAATATTACTCCTGGTCGTGTCATTCGCGCATCGTTATAACCTTTCAACTGTTGATTTAGGCATCAAAAACCCAGCGGAATCATTTGTAGCAAAGCTACTTGTTCACGGCCATCTTAGTCGAGCATTGGATCCATTATCTCAGCAAGATCAAAATCATTTAGACGGATGGATCAGGGGACTGTTTGAGCCAGAAGGTGGCGGGCTTGGTGATGAGCTGATGTCATCTTGCCCGCCACAAGAGTTCTACCTCTTGGTACCTACTCTCTTTCACCATATTGTGCTAGCACTTAGCACAGAGACTCTCTCGGAAGAAGGTTTGAAAGGTGGCTTGGAATTCATGGTTGAACCATTTTTGCTGCCTTCTCTGATTCCGGCCATCACATGGCTCTCGGCTCACTTGTGGGAAGCACGCCCTCAGGCAACTTATGTTCTTCAGATCCTGTCAGCTTTAATCAAAAGTCCTCCATCCATATCAAACAACATGGAAGCATCTCACCTACTCAACGCGATCCTCAAGATCATAGCCCAAAATCTTGAACAAAGTCTTCGATGGCTCCAGCGCGCGGAGCCTCACCGTCATGACATCGATTCAATTTCGAAAGCACTGGAGTCGAACTTAGGCTGGGAACGAAAAGGTGCTAGTAAATACAGCGAGTTAGAAGTATGGACAGCCACACCGGGGGGCGGACTGGCTGCCAGTATAAAGCACACAATTGTCACCCTCGTTCAATGGGGTCTTCAATGTGACCGCAACCCTGGCATGCAAATTATGCCTGCATCTTATACTCATCGACAGCTTCTTACTGGATTGAAAATGCTCGGTGCAAAAAGATTGCTGAGTACTATTATTGAAGAAGTGAAGACACAAACCGAAGCGGGTAATGGAAGCGTGGTACTGGACATTGCCATTTCATTAATATGCGCTCCAGATTCTGCAAGCTTTGACTCAGGTTCTGGAATGGATATCATGAGCGGCAATACACCACAACTACTTCAACGACGACTAACTCTAAGAGAAGCTTTAAAGGCAGAAGTCGAAAACATGCCGAAAGTCCACAAGACTGATAATTTTCACGCGGAGACTGTCATTAGGTTGTACAGAAGAGTTGAAGCACAGTCAGTCATACAACAACAATTACTACCAGATGATAATGGTATGGGTGCTTTGAATGAAGTTATGGGAGATGCTGGTCTTGGACCAGTTGATCAACCTAATCTTGATATGCATGATATGGGTGCTGGTAACGAAGATTTAATGATGATGGGCGGAAGCGGTCATGGTGGTGACTTACTAGATGCTTTTGGAGATGATGGTCTGGGAGATGGAATGGGATTCTAGATGTCGTATTTTGCATGGTGTTAGGAAAAGGGAAGTGGAAAGGGATATTTTTGGATGTAGAAAAACAAGACAGCATTGAGCTTTTGCGTCACGCATGGATCATTTCTAGGGAAAACATCGGAAAGATAATAGTAATTTATCAGAAGATTCTAAGAAATTTTCAAATACCACAATACAAAAATTAATGAGGAATTTACTCCAATATTACGAATTGATGAAGAGCACGAGCATAGCTTCTAAGCAACTATCACGTGTATTTGGAATTCTGCGGCAACAAGGATCATATCAAAGGTCTAGCGCGACGCTAAGATAATGAGAAAATAATTTTTTGATATCGAAATCTTTAGCTACAGGATGAGAGGAACAAGAATTCCACGCAATCCGTGCAATAATTCGAGTAAATATACAACAATGGCTGGCAAAAAGAGGAAGGTCTCCGGGAAAAACGTCAAAAGTCGCACGCAAGATTTCGACAAGTCCAAAGGAAAAGTAGCCTTTACAACATATGAAGATATCGCCGACTCCGAGGATGAATTTCACATCAACAGAGATAAAGTTATGTTGGATGATGAACCAAATGCTAAGCGTCAAAGGAAATCGAATTATGACGGTTAGATTAATTGACGTTATGGATTTTATAGTAGCTAAAAGTTCCTACAGATGAAATAGTCGAGTTGTCGGACGAAGAGGTTTTAGGATACTCCGACGAGAGCTCCGAGGAAGAAGAATATGAGGCGCCGAAATTGAAGAAATCAAAAGGTCAAGAAGACGATGAGGAAAATGCTGAAGAGGAAGACGAATATGCCGAGGGATGGGGATCTTCGAAGCGCGATTACTATGATGCGGATAACATTGAAACCGAAGCCGACGCTTTGATGGAAGAAGAGGAGGCTAAACGATTACAACAGAAGAGGCTTTCGAAATTGACCAAGGCTTCTTTCGGTCTCGATGAACTTGACATCAAATGGCTCCCTGCGAGTGATGACGAAGAAGGCCTGGGAGGTGCTCTTAAAAAGGGCAAGGGAGGCAACAAAGAGGAAGATGATGATTATGAAGAGGGAGATGTGGTAACAGAGGTTTTGAAGGATATTGAGATCACAGAAGATATGGGTCCGGAAGAAAGGTTAAGAATACTATATTCGAGATATCCGGAATTCGAGTTCCTGGCAGACGAATTTTTAGAACTAGCACCTGTTCTACAAGATTTATTGAAGGAAGTAGACCAATTGCCTGAGTATGAAATCGATGCGATACCTTTTACAGTCACAAAAGCCAGGGCTTTAGCAGCTTACACATCTACTATTGCCATGTACTTTTCGCTTTTGACATCTCCATCGCAGCATCCCGAAGGGGAGGGAAAGACTATGAATCCACAAGAATTACGAGATCATGAGATTATGGATTATTTAAAGTCAACTCGAGAGTTGTGGTTAAGGGTCAAGTCAATTGACGTTACGAAGTTGGAGGGAGATTCGGAAGGTGCAAACGAAAACATATCTATGGACGACGTGGAGGATACACTCACATCAGAAGATGAGATGGAGACAATTCGACCAACGAAGAAATCCAGAAAGGAATTGGCTCGCGCTGCTGCTGCTGAAAGGGCAGCCGCAAAACGTAGTAAACAAATCCAGGAAGCAGAGGAAGACTTGGCAGGTCTTGATGATCTCGTGTCTAAAGCTAAGAAATCAAAGAAGGTATCGAGAGCTGTTGTCGAAGCAGATGACGATTCCGATTTTGGCGAAGAAGAATCTTTGGATGCCAAGGCTGCGGAGGAGAAAGCTAAAAGAAAGAAGTCACTCAAATTCTACACATCTCAAATCGCCCAGAAAGCGAATAAGAGAGCAGATGCAGGAAGAGGAGCCGGTGGTGACGAGGATCTACCTTATAGAGAAAGGCTTAGAGATCGTCAGGCACGACTCAACCTTGAGGCCGAGAAGCGTGGAAAGAAATTGGATGAATATGGAAGAGGTACGGCTCTGGGTGGAGAAAGCGATGACGACGATCAAGAAGCTGTTGCTGGCGAAGTTCGAGGCGATGAAGAAGAGTACTATGACATGGTTGCACAGACATCAAAGAAACGCAAGGATGATAAAGAGGCAAAGTATGCCGCAATTTCTGAAGCGAAGAAGGCTGGAAAGTTGGCAAGAGTAGTAGAAGTGGAGAATGACGAAGATGGGAAGAGAGCCATCGGATATGTTATTGAGAAGAATAAGGGATTGGCGCCAAAGAGGAAGAAGGAGGTCAGAAACCCGAGAGTGAAGAAGAGGATGAAGTATGACGAGAAAAAGAAGAAGTTGGGCAGTATGAGAGCTGTGTACAAGGGTGGAGAAGAGAGAGGTGGTTACGGTGGTGAGAAAACTGGTATCAAGACTGGTTTGGTTAAGAGTAGAAAGTTGTAGGATATTATCTATGGAGGCAAAGCATTCCATGCATCTAGGTTTAACATGGTTTCGTCAAAAATCTCTTCATGTAAGAGATCCTTACTCCAGTAGAGTTAGTTCTAGTCAATACATTAATTTTATGCAATGCTCAGTCCTACCTTCAAGATTAGCAAAGCGTGGTACCAAAACGACTATACTCCTTGGCAGGTGTGAGATTGGTGTTCTCACAATCGATACCTCGGATTACAAAGGGTAGTACAGTTTTCACATGTTTACATCTATGGCGTTTAGACTTTTTCCATACCTCCTTCTTGGAAATTTAAGTTGTGCAAAGGCGTTGAAATGTCTCGGCTCTGTTCGTTGCAGTACGCTCTCATTTCCAGAAAATGCCCTACGGAATGACTAGTGCATTCACATACTGGGCAGACAGACATCAACTTCCAGACTCTCCACAATTTGCTTTCGATGATTTGGTCGCGGATGAGGGATTCCCGCTCACCTGCTCGATTGTGGCGAACGCAAAGGGTATCAGATGCATAGATAGCGGAGTTTTTGTTCCTTTATACACAGGAATTACGGGGGAATATATTTCTTGCTTTTCTGCTGTGTCTTTGGGGGTGTGAGTGAGATTTATTTGATTAGGTTATCATGCGTGTTTGCATATTTTCCTTGTTTGGTTTGCGGTATCTGGGAATTTGTGGTGCGGGACCGGTGCTTCTGCATCGAAATTTGGATTCTGAAGGGGGGTGTTGTGATTCGGCAAGTTTTTCTTATGATGAGTCTCAGTTGGCTAATGGCATATGAAGAAGTGAAGGTGTTCTAACTTTTCTTTAGTAAGTCCTCTTGCTTCTTGGAAGCTGCTTCTTAGCCAGAATTTATTCGAGTCTGCGAGATAGCTCATGCTCTGATGTGCTTATGGGATGATGCTAATCTTTGGATCAAAGGTCAGGACACGGTGATCTCGATTCTGTTAATTGCACCAAAACTGCCACGCCGAATCACTTTTGGAATCGCAGAGATGTAGCACAATGTGGTAAAAATGCTCCACAGGAAAGTCAAGTATGTCCGCTGAATACTTGCTGTAGTGGTAATGGATACTGCGGGGTATGTATCTTCGAATTCCATATGATACGCACAATCTTGTTGCAACATCGAGTAATATACAATATACTCGCAACTGACTTAATCACAGACCACATCCGCCTATTGCATCAACGCCGACCCCATCAACGGCAACGCACCCTGCCAACGCGGCTATGGCGCCTGCGGCCTCATAGCCCCCCCCAGCTGCGGTCCTGGCAGCACAACCGCTAGCAACGGACGCAAAGTCTCCTACTGGCAAATCAGCAGCGCGACGCGTTCCTGTAACGCACTCCCTGTTTCTCTCATCTCTACTCAAAATATCACACATCTCATCTTCGCCTTTATGTCTATCTCTCCTAATACTTTCCACGTGGTTCCTTTCGATACTACGGCTGTACCCATGTATTCCTTTACTGCTCTCGCTTCCGCTACTTTGGCGACGTATATGGCTATTGGGGGCGGGGGATCAAGTGTCTTGCCCCCGATTTGGAGTCAGATGGTTTCGAATCAGGGGAATCGAGCAGCGTTTATAAGTAGTGTGGAGGGGTGGCTGAGTACGTTTCATTTCCAGGGTGTAGATTTGGATTGGGAGTTTCCGAGTAGTAATAGTGATCGCGATGGGCTTGTAGCGTTGGTGAGAGAGATGAGGGAGAGTTTTACGACGAATTTTCCGGAGAGAAATTGGGGGATAAGTGTGGTTTTGTGAGATTCATTTTTTCATTTTTCCAATTTCTCTTTTTTGGAAGATGGAGAGAGCAAAGGGAGAGTGAGCTAATAAGTAGATAGACCGCCAGATATCTCCTCCCTCCAATTCTTCGACCCCATAAACCTAGAACCCTACACCACCTTCTTCAACTTCATGTCCTACGACCTCCACGGCCCATGGGAAGCCTCCAACCCCTCTCTTGGCGCTTTCGTGCGTCCCCAAACCTCTCTCCCCGATATCACCATCGCTCTTTCCCCCCTCTGGTTCGCAGGCGTCGATCCCGCGAAACTGAATCTTGGACTCGCAGCCTACGGACGCGGCTACACGCTTGCGAGTCCGGAGTGTGCGGATATCGGGTGTGCGTATATAGGGCTTAGTGAACCTGGGCCCTGTAGTACGGAACCTGGTATTCTGAGTATGAGGGAGATTGAGGTGTTGGTGCAGAGAGAGGGGTTGAAACCTACGTGGGTGGGTGCGACTGCGGCGGAGCAGGGGGGGATGGGGGTGAAACAAATTGTTTTTGGTGGGGGAAAACAGTGGATGGGGTTCGATGATCAGGAGAGTTGGGGGGTGAAGAGGAAATATGCGGACGCGCTTTGTATGGGGGGGACGGTGGTTTGGAGTTTGGATTTGCAGGGGGTGGGGAGGTGAGTTTTGGGGTTTTTTTTGTTTGGTGTTTTAGTTTGGGATTTGTGGAAAGATTTACTGATAATTGATCTAGTGGTGATGGTAATTTTGGACCGGGGTTCTAGAGAACAGTGTGGAATTTCTGGGGACTTGGAATTGGGTTACATGGAGGCGTTGAGGCGTTGAGGCGTGAATGGATTTTATGGTATTTCTTTAGTATACATGTTTCATGGGTAGTGACTTGCAGGTGATGTATACAAGGAGCACTTATCATTCAGTCACTCCATTCTGATGTTTTTCTTGACTCTATCTTGGCTATCGAACATCTATGTCTTCAGTCAGGTAGTGATTTTCCCGGTCTTCACGTTCAGAAAGGATACTTTCGTGCGTTGATGTAAAGCAACTGTGCATGTGGATCAGGGTTATGTAAAGACTTTCATATCAACTTGCATAGCCAGGTCATGTCTGTCAAGTGCTCTTTGAATTTTCTGCTCTTCTATCGATTATATGAAATCTCATCTGAATATCTTGGACCACATAATTGGTTTCGCCTGAGAAACAAAATCTCAGCGGATCACAAACCAAAAGATAGAGTAGTTGTATTTAGCTTCTCTGCATAGAATATCGCATTTAACTAATGATCTGATAGTATTTCCAATCCTAATGCAAATGAAGCCATGTCTGAAAGTCGAACAAGAATAACCCAGGATGGCATTCTATACAACCAGCAACACAAAAGAAGCGAGTCATTCAACGAATATCCCACCGAGCATCTCACTCCCAAACTCACTACTCATCAACAACCCCCTCTCCCCCCTCCCTATCAAAAAAAAATCATTAGATCCTCATACTCACTCATTCGCCATCTCCCCAAAATCCAGACACTCCTACAAATCCGCAAACCTTCCACAAAATCCACAATCCTATCCACCATGACCCGTGCTTCCTTCTCATTCTCATTCTTCATTCTAGAATCTAGATGCTTCACGGTAGCGTAACTGATGTCCAAATTAAAGAGTTATCAGAAGTTCAGAATACCCTTTTCTATATTAATGTTATTACGAATACCATACCACATATACTATCCAGCGCCAGCAAATCAAGTGGAATATCATCTCTTGATGTTCCTGATACATTCCCCTCATCAGACTCAATATACCGAATCACTCTCCTCTCCCGCTTTCTTTCCGACGCGATTACTTTTCCTTCCCTGCCCTATCAATCCCAAATCACTTGTGAGAGCGAGGGTAAATAGGAAATATATCCTGGAACCTGTTCCTACTTCATGATGTTTCGAGCAGCGGTGGTAAGAGTAAGTTGATAGATAAAATGGTAATTATCTTGATCTAGGCAATATATGTATCGCGGATGATGGTGTGGAAATCTGGTTTATTCGTTTTTGGGGGTGGGGGCGGGGGGAGTAGAATGGAGGGTGGATTCTTGGGTGAGGGGGAAGTGGTGGAAGAGGGAGGGGAGAAGGGAGTGGAGGGCGTGGATGAAGATATGGTTTTACTCTCGGTGGTAGTTAGAAGTAGAAGAATGTGGTATATAGTAGATTTGAATCACTGGAATATATAGGTGAGAATATTTACGGAGCTGTAACGCAGCGGACATATCGAGCGGGGAATTCAGTGGGGATATAGCCATTCCGCAGAATTAAAAAATGGTGTTGTGATATGTTTGTAAACTATTGATAATCCAATGCTCATGGTATTGCTCAGATACGAATTTTCGAGCTCGACTATCTGCAAAGATGTTGAGCTATCCCAACCGCTGGCTATTGAGATCAACCTACCTGAGTCCAGGTCTCGACTAAAACAGATTCAGAGCCATGTAGATGCTTTCCCCTCTGTTGTATATTTCCTTACCCTAACAATTACAGTTATAGCAAGGACAACATCCTATAGTTATACTTTCTTACCCAGGTATCTATATCACTCCACCCAATTCATATATTCAATCTATCTACACAGGTGGACACACTTTACAGATGCAATCCCGTTCTAACTTCTAGGTGGACGGACGGACGGACGGAAACGAGAGGAATGTGGGATAACGCCACACGCAACTTACTGTATGGGATTCGCAAGCTAATTTTCGGGGCGAGAGTGATTAATTACGTTGAAAAGGATATGTGTGGGAGAAATCTGATTGTAGAAGAGTAGAAAACTAAAAATGAAGTCTAGATGTGAACGCATGCATGAATAAGGAGTATTGATAACCGGGGAGTAAGTCGGGTACCCTATTCTCTGGCCACCCCTGTTTTGAGCCACCCTTTTATATCATAAAGCGCTTTTTCGGCTTATTAATATTTCTATTAAAAAAGAATATTGAAAATTGAAAATTGATACACATATAACTCAGATCATTTTAAGCTTATTTTAAAGTTTTCAAATTTTTAGGATTTTTCTAGATTGATTTCTGAAGCTTTGAAATATCGATTTTCAAATCTATTTAAGAATTATATATAAATTTAAAACCCCATTTAAATCTTTAATAACTTTTAATTATAATTGATAACAAGAAACTAATTATTTTTTGAAAGTTTTAAGCTTTAATTTGTATAAAGGTTTGTTTTAAAATTTAAAAAACTAAATAGTTATAAAGAGAAATATTAAATAGAGATTAATAATCTCTATAAATTCGAAAATACTTCTATAAATACTTATTTATTGGAATTCCTTTGATTTTTTTAATCTCTTAGATTGAATATACTATGAATTTATAATAAAAAATAAATTCTTGATTTTTTGTAAAGAAACGAGTACTATCGGATAATAACCGGCGCAAATCGTTATAGTATTTACGTTATAATGTTATACAATTTAATCACGATAAGAGGAGATTCGACTTCGAGGACCGAAGCTACTCTCGGTAGGGTATTAAAATACCTACTTATAATTATAGCTTAATTAGATTATCTTAGATATAGAGGACAATCAGATGAACTTTCTTCTTCTTGTAATACTTTGTAATTCATCACATTTTTTATAATTTTTAATAAAAGATTATCAAAGATTTTAACAAAAATTGAAATTTAAATAAAAATTGAAATTTAAATAAAAATTGAAATTTAAATAAAAATTGAAATTTACACATAATGATTTCTATATAAATTTAACAATCGATATTCTAAAGCTAGATTTTCATCTAGGAAAATCGTAAAAATTTCAAAATTTCAAAACAAGCTTGGAATGATTTGAATTATATATATACAAAATTTTAATGAATTCTATTTATAAATGAGAAAGTTTTCTGTCATTTTTAGTAGTGAATACTCAACTTAAATAATAAAAGGGCGGTAAATTAATAGATTAAGCGAATCAGACAAAATGAAAATTTGAGGATAGCTGCTACTAATAATACTCTAGATTCACAGGATAAATATCATATCAATATGAGAGTACGAAGTGCGGTATCTCCATCGATTTGGTGGTATACCATGTAATGCAATTGGTAATCGATGTGAATAACCTTAGGTACTGAAGCATAAGATTTGATAAGCAGCCACTACCTAGACCAGATCAGATCAGAGATCAGATCAGATCTCGTACGATCTGCAATAAAATCCCTGACGCAAAGTATATTCATAAATTACATGATTCGTCAGACGAAAAGTGATGGGAAGTACCGATGGCAGTTTGGAAGTAGGAGGAACTAATGAGGCGTTCGGTAAAGAAGGGAAAGTCCGTGATGAATAGCTGCTGCAGAGTTCAAAGTAGTTAGAAACACATTAGTTTATGTGAAGGTCGGCGAATGAAAAGTGGAAATCACAAATTATCTCCGGGAGATTCTGTAAGAAAAAAAATTACACTGTAGAATTATTGTTCCCAGCACAAAACTATACTATATACAGATATCATTACAAATATCGAATTTCGTTGCTCAATCTCTCAGAGAATTGGGTATGTTCATCAACCGACCGTTTCCTTGACGTCCCTTTGACTCCTTAGATAGCTAGATATAAATTTTCAAAAACACCTTGGCGTACTCGACCAAGCCCCGCTATTCTTCACACAGAACATCGCGGCTTGTATTGCGCTGCCATACCCAAATCCCTTTCGTCGGTTGATTCATCTTTGGAATTCGTCGTGTAGCGGAAGGTATCTTCACTATCTCTCTTTCCTATCCCAGTTTTGTCGCTTTTACATTCATCACTACTCCTTCTTTCACCCTCAGCTGCCATTCTCATAAAACTCGAAATGCTGGCATCACTCCCAATCTCTTCAATCGCATCTAGATTTCTTGAGCGTCTTGTTGATCTGTTTTCTCGCTCTCGAATATTGCCTAATTCAAGATCATCGTGTGAGAGTTTTCGTGAGGTACGAGAGGCTCTTGGAGTAGCGACTGTTGTGGATCCTGAGAAAGGTCCCTTGTCTGCCGAAGATATAGCGTAATGGTCGCTTCGGTTGGAAAGTAAAGAGCGAGGAAGAATAAAAGGTATGTAACGTGTGAAAAAAGGTTTTGTGGCAGGAACGGACGCGCCAATCTGAAATTTTGTTAGAACTGTTCAATTTATATCCTGTGACGTGAAGATAAAATGGAGATACTTACTATACCAACATAAAGCTCAACGGTACTACTTATCCAAACATGATAAGTGTCCCATGTCATATCCGATGAAACCAATTCTGCATAAGTGTAGTATGTTCTCACAGCCCCAGCGACACAAACGAGAAATCCGGCACCGAAGAGGAAAATAATGATGAGTCGTTGACGTTGAGAGATCTGCAATCGGAGCATTTTTGGTATTGGGAATAAAACGACGATACAGTCAGTTATAGTATTGATGGTTCCAGCAATCGTGACATGAAGAGTTTCATTGATGCATTCTGGCTGAGGAGCGAACGTTATAAGCCAGTAATGAGAGGGTGGTCTGGTGTCTCAGTCAGTCATTGATATTCATGTGACCCCAAACAGACATCAACATGTGAGTCTACTAACCGGCATTGAAAAATAGTAACGATGATGAATAGAAGGCCTTGAACGGCGATTATAATGGAAGCCGCGATAGTCATGATCTTAAAACTTCTCCCGCTTGATAAAATTCGGTAGTATAATGCCAACATGGAACATTTTGTGAGAGTTTGGCCAAGTGTGAAAACGATTTGCGTGATTATAACGTATTGTAGACCAAAGGTAACCCGATTGAACGGAACATCCCATATATGTCGATTGAAGCGGAATTTTTTCTCGGCGAGAATGGCGAGGATAGCAAATGATGTCGATGGCAGCATTGCTGCAATTATGAGCCAATCATCTAATCCGAAACTCTTTGACATAACAAGTCGAGTGTAAAGTCTGATGATTATCATAGATAAAGCCAGAGGAAATAGAATAGAAGTGACGATTAAAACTCCATTCCCTCGCGTTATAGGATTGGTGTAGTTCGGGACTGGCCAAGAGGCGAGGATCTCAGGAGAGGGAAGTTGCATCTTGAAGAACATGTGGTCGACATTAAGGCAAGATGAAGGTACATTATTTGAAGTATATAGTCGTAGAGAAACGGTCAAACAAGAAAGTAACAGTGCGAACAGCTCACTACTGCGGCTCCAAAAAAGTATCAAAGGAAAGATCCGTGCCCAACGCAAGGGAACTCCACCTTGATATACTAAAATCTGTAGGGGGGGCGGGATGGAAGGTAGTCTTGGACACACAGACTTCAATAACATATGCTTCTCAACCACTGCAGGCCACCAGATTTATTGTTGAAACTCAATCTTTGTGTCACGAACCCTCAAATTTTACCCATCAACGCTCAATGACATTGGCAGATCTCCAATCATCCACAAGGCTAATGTCATATTCTCATATTGAGAATATCATTCAGGATTTCCTGTTTTCCTCTAGACTTTGAGCACGGATGCCTATATCTTGCTTCGAAGAACGGTGACTACTTGATATAAAGTTCAAGCATGGAGCTAGTCTCGAGCATTTAACGGAGGTGGTTTGATAAAGTTCTCGGGATGTGGACGATGTAAGGTCCCTTTCAATGAGGGAAAAGTCCCTGAGAAAGCGGGCAAAACGTACGATCTTCTCCTGTTGGGCAGTAGTAGACGAATGAAGATTGCGTACGGCGTTGTATTGATAGATTCCCCGGATAAGGTTGTTGGGCACTGCCAAAGTGCGGGCATTAGCTTCAGAAGTATGAATAGGGCATGGTTCTGGACGGCTAAAATAATCAACGAGAGATCGTATTCGTCTAGCGTTACAGGCTGTGGTACCGGCAACAATGTTATTTCCTCCTTTCAAAACCGGAAATCTTGAAGATGAAGGACTCACCAAATGAATCAGGATTCGTATATTCTAGAGGTTGACGACTCGCATCGCTGTACGTTGTAGAAAAAAGCAACTAAAGAGTCAAGTGCCGAGTGTAATGCACCCTCAAGGATCGTTGATGCATAGGGCTCGATGTGACCACCGATTTAACGCCGAAAGGGGAAAAGAAATGAAAGGGGTCTTTCGCAAGCTTTTCTACTTCGAACTTCGGTCCCCAGAATCCCAACACTCTGGAATCGTCGAATATGATCAACGTGATTTTATATCCGAAACACAACAGGGCGTCCAACACTTTCTTTTGGGGGTTGTAAAACACCTAGATATGCTGCAGTTTGACAACGATTCTGACGGTCCGGTTGCACAAAGATGAGGATATTACTTACAGACGATAGATTGAATTGAGCACCAGTCATGGCGTCATGAGAATTACTCGCCAATCGGCCTTAGTAATGCCCCATTTTTCGGCATCTCAATTTTTGACAGTGCTTTGCTTATAACTAGCATAATGATCAATGATGATAGACGTCTGTGGGAGCCCACCTCGGCTCGTCCACATCTTGGCCTCCCTCGACGATCTGTAGGCCCGTGCAGTTGCACCTGCACCGGTGGAGATACTGTCAAAGAGAAAGAAGCATGAAAACAGCGCATGCATTATCTACGAAATTTTGATCACATCTGGTAGATCCCCAGTTATGTCTCTCCCCGTCTGGGATCTTGACCGTTTCTCGTTTACTGCTCGAGCTAGATCTGTCTAGTCTGCATATATGTTTCTTTTCCCACAAGAGATTCTGCATGTTTCCTCATCTAGCTCTTGGAAAAGCTACTTCACAAACCCCACTTCAGGATCTACTGAAAGATTATCTTAGTTTTGTTTTTTCTATTCTTCGTCTATTCCCGCATATTATTTGACGCATCGTCTCCAAGCTTGTGGTCAGACCGCCAAAGGACATTGTCGCTAGCCTCTTACCCCTCTAGTTCCCTCTATCTCTATTTACTTGGGAGAAAAATCAGGAATCAGCGTGCATCGAGAGATTTTTTCTCGATTTTCCGATCCGTGAACCCTTGACTTCTGCTTGTACCATTTCTTTTTCGTCCCAACTCATTTGGCCCCAATGATGATGTATTGAAATTCAAAGTCTGTATACGCTCGAGACCTTTTAGTGCCGACCCTTGAAATACGATGAAGCAGTGTTGAGAAAAATTGGATCATTTGATACCGTACGAGACGATACATAATGTGCATGTAGATTTCTTTTGTTCGCGATATCCACCTAGGCCGCCGACTAGATTTGAGAAGTCGGAATGTATAGCATCTACGATACTCACGACAATTCTCCGAGGGAGATCAACCGCGGAAAGATTCCGAGACAAGAAAACAGGAAGAGGGGTAAAGGGAAGAACCCAAGTGAGAGTTCTGTACTATAGCTAACTACTCGTAGTGTCGAGGGACCTTAAGACGTACCGGCAGTCTGAACACAGGTTAGTGTTGTGGAGTAGCTCCAAGGAAAATGATTCTATAGAAGGATTAGTTTTGGTTCAAATGAATCGTCTATACACACAGCTAACACATATTCGATAATGAATGTCGTAAATCTATAGTTGCATTGTTGTCTCATACAAGAAGAAAGAATACCGACAGTAAGGTACCAAAATTCTCCGCGGAAATCATTCGTAATTGTATATTAGTACAGTAAGTGTAAGTCTATTAAGTAACGGTCAATGCTCTTCGGAGAATTACTGAGGGTTGCATTTTAGGAAGATATCCGATTTGAAATTGTCATGATTTTGCGACGGTCTATCGAAACGTCATTGAAGCACCCGATGCTGATCTCTTCTTGCTCAGAGTTGGGCGTGGTGATGAGGCATTTGAATGCATGGAACAAAAACCAAGAATGGCATGATTTGATGCTTGTGATATCACTAGTTTGTGAATGGGGAGGAGGACAACACTACCAGGTGGCGGAACATTGCTAGACTGATATCATGCATGATGGTCGATAGACGAGAATAACCATTAGCCATTCTTATGATTCATACTTGTATTTCGTGAAGAGTATCCTCACTGGAACTAGATAGGTACAACCGAAGACTTTTCGTCTAAGGAGCTGGTCCCCATGGGACACGATCCTCCAAATCCGGATATTCATACTCATCATTCTCCAGATATGGCATCTGCAACACGCCATCTTCGTCCGTAAATGTATCCTTCGCATCTTCGAAAACCTGGAACAGAGCTTGGTCATTCATACACAGTCCACTAATCAACCACCATGCCACGAGAAACTTGACGCGCCAGACCTTCCATTCACTGACGAGCTTCTTTTCATCCCATTCATCTTCCGCCGAACCCTCTGGCATGCGTTTCACGCAATGATAAACCAAGCAAGTACTTTCGTCCTCTGCACTTTGGAGATCCAGAACTACAAATTGATTCCATTCGATTCCACCCTCAAAGTCGGGAAAGTTGTGACGGTCAACGACATTTTCCATCATGAACTTTTGTAAGGTCTCAGGAGATGCATCTTGAAAACCAGTGGTGAATGATGGGCCTGGTAGAGGAAGAGTAAGTTCAGGTCCATGCACATCTTCATCCGGTGATTTTTGGAGGATCCAGGGGCTTTCGGGTGCGCTTTTGGCCCGGGTAGATTGCGTTACGAATGCTGAAAGTGTCTGTGAATGAAGAGTTTAATGTGTATTCGATTGTCAATAGAACTGCGTGACTTACCTCATTGGGTATTTGAGCCGTGCAAAAGACCAGAAAAGTACCCATATCTTCGGATTCGGAGTGAACTGACTGGTCTCAAGATATCTGATGACTAGAAATGCGCGTCACGCTGAAGCCACAAGAGATTTAGTCTTTAAGGCTCACTTTTAGATTTTGGTTGTAGATTGGAGGAGGAACTTGGGGATTTTGTATAGAAATTACCAAAGGAAGGCTGATCGATATTTGAGGCAGTACAATAAAGAACGTCAGAGGCTCAGAGGCTGTGCTTACGTAACACATGCAGGATTCACTCTGACTGAGATGATGCATCTTACCTTTGACGTCTGAATTCAAGACATGGTGTTGAAAACTTCCATTAATAGGCACAAAAGATCCTCCGGTTTCAGCTGGCAATTAGCCACGATACTGTGGGTGGAGGGAATCTTCTGGATTCGAGCTCAATACACTCGAATGATATTAGATATATCGTTTGCAAGCCTAGGCCGCTAGAAGAATTTTTTGTTTTTTTTGCGAGGCTAGATGACCTTCTACGTGAGTGACAATCACTGATTGTTCTCGCTATTGCATCGTCTTTCTTGCAAGATTTTGCTGGCAATTGCTAAAGGAGTGGCCAAGAAGTTGCAAGGCAGACTGAAGTGGCTGCATATTGCTATGACATAAGAGGTGTCCATGTACTGTAAGCAGAAAACATTATATCAAGGGATTTCGCAAGCAAGCAAGCGGCACAGCGAAGGAACCATTGGCGCCGTCTGATGTTTTACGCCTTCCTAGGTATCCATATGGATATTGTTAGTAGCAGATAAATGAACAGACAACTAGCTGCATGTCAATGTCCGTTTCGCATAAACTTCGGAACGTTAATGCGCTAGTATTTGCCTCGCTGCATTGATTCTGCCACCACCCTAGCTGAGCCTAGGTTAGTTGTCTGAGGGCAGAAAAGACATTCATCTCTAGAGCCGACACTGTCGACCTCTTTCAAACTATTCACCCATACTCAAGATCTGTTAGCTGATGCACCGAATCTTGTTAAATGCAGAAGCTCACGGTAAAGCTGTACGAGATTGATGATTGGACTTCTTCAAACGGCTGACATGGGATCGAATTTGGGTATAATGCAGCTCCCTGCGAATCTCCTTCCTTGAGATGTCACTCTTCATTCCAAATCAAGAACTCTAGAGCGTCACTACGTTGTCAATTTTCATAATCCTTCAAATCACGACAGAAATGTTCAGGAGTGAGATCGTTTACGTCCCTAGCACGCTCAATGTTCCTTTTTCATGTATGGATCGGAATGAAGCTCCGGTTCCCCTAGAGCGAATCATTTCCACGGAAGTATGATCCGGTATCAGATTGATATACCTACCTATCATGCATGCCCAACTGTCATTACAGCTCTTGTACGACAATTTGTCTTGAAGATGATCCACGAAAGGCGTTATTTCGTAAGGACCGGAGTAGATGACCCAGGCGTATGACAAATTCTTCGTGCCAGGCCCAAAGCATTGAATAGTAAGATCCAAGATTCAGAAAGATTTGGAAAGAATGTGAGTTCATCATTCTGTTCTGGTAATTCTATATGCCCGCATACCATATCTCTCGCCATTGCAACAATGCAACAAAACAACCCAAGCAAAAATCACGAAAAGGTCTACCTAAATAGCGCAAGTGTGAAGAAAATTCGAAATCAATTCCTTCCCGAAACATAAACCCTCAACTTCTCAAACTCTATGCAAGGCATAGCAGTTTGATCACCCACCAAATTTTGGTATCATTCAAACATTCAAGTATATCCGGGGAAGTTAACAGCCCATGTGTCAGTTCCGTACTTGAGGTGTTGCCAAAGGAGTGAGTTCCCAATCTTTTTGGATGTTCTTCGATACATGAAGTTGACTGGATCGGTCGAAGCTGCGTTTTTGCAAACTGTGTCTGCTGCTTTTCCTGTATCTAGTGCTGTACAGAATTTACTACAAATTGGTGTTAGTTGGTGATGCGAAGACTAGATGGCTTGTCTTACCCGGCGTTGTGGTACTTCTTCTTGAAGTATTCGTCTTTCTTGGCTTTGTAGTGACTGATTTGCCCGGACTATTAAATGAGGGTTAGTGACCACATGAGGAGATATTTTTCGAGTGCAGTGTGGTATGTTTTTGATATAGAGAATAGAGCTTCATGTAGAGCTTCATGGTCAATAAAGGAAAATTGGAATAGCTTACAACTCGAGATCCCTCCTCTGATATACATGTTAGTTTTGTTACCATAACTGGAAGAAAAAGAAACTAACTTGTGTTATGGCCTGGATCGACAGGTGCGATGAGACAACCTATGCCACCCTCTTTGGCGGATGCATTGGTGGTATCTTCTGGACTAGTCCAAGTGGATTGTTTCAACGCTGATAAATCAATTTTTGAGCCCCCAACCAATGTTGCTATGGGAGGTCTGAAAGGGTCTGATCCGGCACCACTTGCTGTTCTCTGCGCGGTATTAGATCCTGGTCCTCCATATGTCCTATTTTCTGTGAGCAAGCTATTTATAAACGATACATACATGGCAAGCAAACTCACAACAATGAAGGCGATTTGAAACAAAGAATTGCAGCACATTGAGCCTCGCATACTTCTTCGACGCCAGCGCAGTCAATGTTGAAAATGTATGGGTTTGCTTTTGTTCCGTCTCCAGCGTCGGTACCGATACGTTTTTCGAGTTCAAAGGAGGTGTCCACTGTCTCTGCTTCTGCTACTGGGGCAGCTAGAGCAGAGGAGAATTGTAGAGACAGTAGAGCTACTACGGGAACAATTGTTTTGAACTGCATGATCACAACGGGTTATAAATTTATGAAATGGGAAGATGAAATTGTCTGAGATCAAATGAAGATTTTATCAAAGCAACAGAAATGAAACGGATGATTGTTATAGCAATAAACAAACCTCACATCTCTCGAACACAATCATTATATACCCTAAACCTACCCATTGTATCCCTCTTGACATATAAAACCTCCCATCAAATATTCCTCCAGGAACGCGCACTCAGATTTACATCATACACTCAATTCAGCTGTAACACCACAGCCCGCCCCTCACATCACATTCACAAAATCGAGTAAAATCAACACGAAATATAAGCACAGCACACATTCCATTCCTTCCAGCTTAATTGTATGCATCAAACTCAAAATTTACACAAAGAGGATTCCCCAAGGTTATCAGCTTATGCGATTCCTATTTTCGTACTTGTGGTGGGTGGTGGAAATTTGTTTACGCCTCCTCAGCAGTGGCTCATCGCGAGAGATTCTCAGCCTTATTGACTGCGAAAATACTGTACCGTGTTTCAGGATTGAAAGGTAATGGTATGGTATGGATGGAATCCTGTGAAGCGAGAGATGTAGTGATTCTTTCGTATGATGAATTTAGAAGTTCATGTGATGATGATGATGAGGGAAGGAAGTACATGTAAGGTAAGCTGTTGATCGTCACGGGCGTGCTTGGCGTAATATGATGAGGCTTTGATTTTGATGGAGATTTAAGGGGTAGTGGGTGGTACAAGGTAAGAAGAGTGTTGTGTGAGGAGTCAGATTGGGGGTGGTAAGGTAGTTGAAGGTGTGTCATGTTGATGAATGTATCTTTAGAAAGGACATCTAAAAGCTTTGCATGAAGATTACATTCAGGGTATCTTTTACGAATTTACCTAATACATGGGACATGAATGGTGATTGAACAGAATACAAGTAAGCTCGTTACGTATTGTGTAATTGACGAGGTTCATGTGGTTGGATTCTGCTAGGTGAGAGCGGGATATTATTTCACACCGAATCAAACCGACAATTAGAATCGCCTTGGCATTTGTGATCTTTTCAAATTTTCATGGACTTTGACGATTTCTAAGCTCTTGATGGATGAACTACATTCCGCACTATTAGAAATCCTGACTCAAAAGTAAGATGGTGCTTGTACCACTTGATCAACGTCGTTGCCCTTGGGAAAAAGGACAACATTTTACAGTCACGGCGTTTCTTTCTCAACCAAAAATAACGTGTGAATCTCTTCCCGATTGGACCAGTATACATGGGTAAATACTCTTGATCGATCGCCATTGAACTATCCATGATCATTGCGAAGAATCCGCCTCCTTTTCATCCTTTATCCACCTCCTTGCTTTCACACCCTCCACTACGACACTTCTCATCTCCTCACTTCCCATCACCTCCACATAGCTCACCGCACTCCCATACGAACCCCCCAACTCCGGATTGGCGCCCTGCTCTAAAAGCCAACACACTCTCTCTACCGCTCCCGCCATAACCGCATACACAATCGGATAACCAGGTCCCATATATCTTGATTCTTCCTTCTGGTTTACATTTGCACCATGGGAGACCAATAGCTCCATAACTGGAATTCGACTAATATCGAATTCTGTACTTGGAGTCACGAGAGCCATATGTGGGTTTGCTCCTGGAGGGCATGAGCCTGCAGCATAGTGCAAAGGATATCCGTTTTCAATCTTGGCTCCGTGTTCTAGGAGTAGGCGCACGGTTTCTACATCTGCTTTGCGTGCTGCAGATTCCAGAGTAGCGCAGGAATTTATCTCGGGATCTCCTAATCGAGCGTGATGAAGACGTTGAGAACCGAGGTTGGGGTTTGCCCCGTGGGAGAGAAACCAACGGAGGAGAGGAATATTGGTAACGATCTCAGGAAGGAGAACTCGACCATAAAATCCGGGAGTGTTAGGCGTCCAGCCAAACTCAGAAAGCAGCTCAAAAAGTGGAATTTGTCGGGAGGAAGGTGCGGATAATATATGAGCTGGTGTCACTCGGGCAATTGGCGCTCCAGATGACAGGAGATATCTGGCAACTTCATTATTCCCATTCTGTAGAGCGAGGTTGAGACCATGGTTGAGAAAATAAGCGGTGCGGGTCTCAGCTCTTATGATGGGTTGAACTGCAGGAAGAGAACCCTTTCTGCACGCAGTCTCATAAGAACCTACAATACCAGGCTTGGAATTTGGAAATCCTACGTTGGTGAAGATCATATCGGCGGGTTGAAATGGGAGGTCGTCATGTGATGTACCCATAGTTTGAGATTGGGGTTGGAAGTGTATCCTACTTCTATCTCTGCTGTCGGTCTTTATATTCACTTCCATAGAATTCTTTTGATTTTGCTGTTGCTGTTGCTGAGCAGCCATCATTTGCATCTGTTGCCGGCGAGCTTGAATCATGGTTTGCTGTTGCCGTTGCCGTTGAAGCGATTGTGTGTTGGTGTCTGCCATAATAATCAGGTGAAATTGTATCAGCCAGAAGCTTAGTATAGAAGATGTCTTATGCTAGGAATAGCAGGTAGACTTTTGGGTGCAAAGTAAAGAAGTCGAACAAATACAAAATATAGGGAATAGGTCTAGATGATGGATGGGAAAATACATCTTAGGCAAACGAGCAAATGGTCCGTGCTACAGTAGCTACCTAGGTAGCTTTCAATGAAACATCCACCTAGATCTCCCTGTAATATTCAACGTGAATTTCACGTCATTCTTAAAAGATCCTGATCGATCCTTTTGGCTTCGTTATTGATACCAACCCGAATATTAGCGGATCAATTTAAATGGCGTCGTTTTCCGAGGATTCTCGTTTCTTTCGAAACTCCGAATAGGCCTATATTTGTACCGTTCGAAATTTGACTTCAAATAAAACATTGAGGCTCTACTTCGAGTCTTTTGTAGCCATTAAAGATATACTATTGGGGGTTCTGTATGTACATGTATATATTCAACTAACATTGATTGCTATCAGCTTGAGGAAGCAACGGCAGACACTACAATCTCCGACGAACTTTAGCCTTCAACACAAAAATCATGACACCGAATTCATGTATGCTATAACAGCTTCTTCAACGAAATATCTATGCTACATGATGAAAAGAAGTTGAATCGAATGGTCGGAAATTCTTATTGCGAAATTCTCTCATTGATTTAAATTGACATAGAATAAACTGGTAAACCGAAAATCGCGTGAACTCTGCACATGAACAAGCGAATAAGTAGGTTAATAATGATTGAGCACTTGCCCAATCAAATAGAGATTCCAACGTAATATGAGCACATATCCAAATACAAAATCAAGAACGATAGTCAGGGACACATTCCTCGCAATCATCAGAAACGCCATTCTGAGATGGCCATTCATTACAGTAACTCATAATCCTAAAGTATCGACTCTTAAATCATGATTCCCAATGCTGTGCCCAAATTTTTAACGCCATGGTGTCCAGTAATCCACGCAAAGTAAGCTATGCAGCTAAGCCCTATCATTCATCGTCACTACTATCCATAATAAAGCCTGCTCTAACTCTCGGTCTCCTTGAATTCGCCACTGGTACAATATTTTCTTCATCCTCATCATCTATCTCCATCGCATCTTTCGCCAAAGGCTCATCATCATCGTCATCGCTCAACACTTTGCGCCTTTTTGGCTCTGCTGATCTATGTGGACTCGATATTGGAGTGTCCGTATTATCTGCTTCTTCCTCTTCGGATTCTGGATCATTTGCACCTACACCACCCTCTTCATCACTATCCAGCGAAATCGCGCTGCTTGCCCTCTTTTTGTTCGAGGTCATAGCCATAACTTCATCGCTATCTCCGTCTCCCTCCCCTTCTAACGCACCTGCCATCCTCTTCTTTCCACTTTCCCTTTGCTGACCGACCCCCAATAACTCCTTCATGATAGTTATCTTATTCTGCTGCCTAAGCCTCTCCTCTGCTTCAAAGAATATTCGATCATTCTCTTTGTCATCGTCACTATCATGAACATATAGTTCACTCTTAATTTTGCGGTTCTTTTCTAACTCTCTCGCTCTTCTAGCTGCTGCCCGAGCTTCAATTTGCTCATCTGTTAGCCCGCGACTTTCGGGTTCATCACTTCCATCCTTTCTGCGTCTTCTTCGACTTTTCTTTAGAGCTTTCAAAGCATTTGATTTTTTCATTGCTGTAGGTCCACCGGGCTGGAAGAGTAGTTCCTCTTCTTCTTCATCGTTATCAATGCCGTCATCTGAATCATCATCGAATGCAGATCGTTTCCTGTTGATCCCAGCAGACACTCTTCTTATCTGGTCAAGCGCTCCTTTACCATCGTCGAAGGTTGGCGGGGCAAACTCGAATTTCTTGATTAAATCTAGGGCTTCTTTTATCTGATCTGCTGACTTTGCCGATGGGAAATACCAGGAGGCATCGGGGTCGTCGGCGGGTCCAATACTAGTGAGACCAACGAGCTTTACCAATAGGCGCAAATAGCCATTCTTGAACATAGCCGTTTTTCGATCGTCATTGTCTGGTTTGAGAACTTTAATTGTGTTAGTGATATAGACAAGCGAATGGTTTTATCATGATACATACGGATAGAAGGCGCCTTTGGAGGTTCGACCTCTGTGGCATGAGTCTCTTCATTCTCCACAAGTGGATCTTTCTCAACGGATTGCAAAGCCTGATTGGCCGCCTCCCAACTTCTCCTTTCATCCTCTGCAGATGATAGTTGCGACTTAACCCATTCGATATGTTCAGCTTCATTTCTATCAAGTAAAGCGGCAACAGCAACACCAATTTGATCCTCCCATTCTAATCCACCCTTTACTTCTAACTCAGCTGCTGCTTTAGGTTTTGTAGATATCGTCTGTTTTTCATAGCCATATTCCAAGAAATGCGCAGTGCTATTGGTTTTAGAAAAGAGCATTTCCACAACAAGCTCCGGACGCTCTTGGATTTTTCTCGTGCATTTCTTCAATAGTTGCTTTACCATTTCGTCCCACTCTTTGTAAGAAGGTGATTGAGGATCTAAGCCTCCTGGACCTTTGATCATAGTATAAAACAAATGTATAATATCGACTCTAAACAACATGACACTCATATCTTGCTTGAAGGCTACTCGGTAGAAGAATCTGTGAGCTCGCTTCAATTGGGCTGGTTTTAGATCAAGATAATACTTCGTGAAAGAGACAAATGTATCGATACAGCCTTGAGACAGAAATCTAGCAGCGAAGCGTTTATAATCGAACTTCCGCTCTGAGGATTCTTTCTGTGCTCGTGCCTCATCTTCACCATCAGATTCATCAACTATATTGTCATCGCCTATATCTTCTCCTGCATCTTTAGCAGCCTTCTTCTTTCTCCGTGTGCGTCTCCTAGATCTTACTTGCATATCAACATTTTGTTTCGAGTACTGTTCCAGGATACGCATATAATTATGTGTAAGCTCTGTGCAAGAATCAAGATAACCAAATCCCTGGTCTTTATCGGTTCTGGTTATCATAGCCACTCGCTCGTGGGTTGTGTCCTCATAGAATATACGTGCCAGAATATTCTCCGCAATTTCCTGGTCGGCCTCAAGAGGTGAATCTGCCATCTCTTGAACGGTGAGAAGAATTTGAGTGAAGCATTTCATGGCTGCACTCAAATCATACCAGTTTTTGTTCTCAAAATTAAGATCCATCGCCCTATTGAGTGTGATGAACATCTCTTGATTGAGCACACTTGCAACCAGGGCAAAACTATCCACCTCTTCTGGAACTTTACTTCTAGAAGGCTTCTTGCTCTTTCTCCTCACTCTTTCCGCCTCAAGAAACCACGAAATCAAGTAGAAGAATTGGCGTTGATGATATTCAAGCACTCTTTCAGCTTCTCTGTCAATGGCTTTTCGAAGGTGAGTGAAAAGGGGGTTAAATCCAGAATCGAGAAATTCCTCAACAAATGCCCGTAAATTGTTCGTCGCTGATGCATTGAGAGGAACTGGATTGTCAAAAGCTAGCGGTCCACTTTCTCCCTTGACTGCTCTCCTAGGCGGTTTGAACTTCTTAGTGCTATCCATTTTATCAAGTCCTCCTCTTCCCGTTCTTAGCGCGGCCTGGCCAGAGATTGTGGTCATTTTCGCATCATCTCGCTGCATCCAGGCCATAGTTCCGAATCGGTTATGTCTCGTGGGAGCATTCGTTTGATAACTTCGAAGCATTGCTTGTTCTTTCTTCCGTAATCTAACCAGCTCATCTGTTTTGCTATTGTCCATGGCCTTCTCGCTGAAGAATAACTTTTCGACATCTACTCCTTTGACCAAATGGAAGATAACGTCCATGACCACAACGTCCTGGGTGTTGAATTCTGCCCCCATTGTTGAACACACCATCAAAAGGAGATGAAATATGTCTTGGTAGTCGAAAGCATCAATTGTCGCAGATCGTGAGATTTCCGTTTCATCGCCTTCATATTGACCATTTGGTGGAGGTGCAATCATAGCGATATTCCGCAGAAAGTATAAAATCAATTTGACGATACCCTCATCTCTTGTACTTCGATCTCCAATATCCACGGCCATGGCTGGCAGTGCGCATCTGACCGCAGTATGTAATATTCTTGCTCCATCGAAACCAAGTATCGACCTCTTATATCCCACTTGCGCAATCTCCAAATATGGTACGTGTCGGTGGTGATTGACTGTCATTTCCTTGTTCTTATCCAATGGCCAAGTTAATGGTACCAATAATTCCATACATGCCAGCGCTATCTTCGACTTCAATCGATCGTCCGTGGCATTCTCGGGCCATGCTGCGAGGATTTGTAGAAGATCTCCTCCTACCAAATTGGATTCTGCGAGACATCTTGCAACGTCTAATCGATTCGCTTTCTCGTCATAGAGCTTTAGCCATTTTTTGAGATCTCGTAAACATGCCAATGCATCATCTCCCAGAACGTATCGTCCCTCTTCATCTGCTCCGCTTCCTCCCAACTATCAATAGTTAGAATTAGGTTTAATTCTTGAATCTCTTCAGACAATACAATTGTTATAACTTACAGCTGTAACCAAACTATTCACATAAGCTCTAACTTCAGGATCTACCACGTCCCTTTTACCACCAGAGAACTCCATATTTGGTTGTGTGGTAAAGGGTGGTGATCATGAATATCTAAGCATAATAGTTTATTGTGATATTATTGACTTTGATCAATCCAACCCAAAAACCACTGTACACGCTCCTACCAAAATTCGCGATCGCGACGCGTACCCTTGTCAAAGCCACATGCAACAGCGGAACTTTGCCGGCCAGCCTCGGTAACCTTAATAATTCCTGGGGAAACAACCGATGATAACCTTCTTTCTCAACTCTCAAGCTTCATTATCATTTGTCAATACAACAACCAGGATTTTCGATTGTTTTCTTTTTCTGAGGTTGTTTCTAAGATTGTCGCCCAACATGATATCTCCAATTGTAAGAAGAGGAATCTTGCAAAGTTCAAAATATGCAAGATCATTCAGCTCCAGCCGAATGCTTTCGGCGACAGAGGTCAAAAGCCTTGGTGTTATCGGCGCTGGCCAAATGGTACATTGATCTGCGTTGTACTTTTTAATAAACATTTTCTCATGAAATATAGGGACTGGGAATAGCATTAGTAGCAGCACAAAGAGCTGGTGTTCCAGTCACTCTCGTCGATACAAATCGAGCCTCTCTTGATAAGGGTCTCGCATTTGCTGGTATGCCTTCTCAATTTCTCTGCCTTTCTTTGCAGACCTTTCTTTACGACTTCATTTCAAGAGTATTCAACTAACTCTTATCTGAATCCAGATAAACTCCTGGCCAAAGATGTAGCCAAGCAGCGCATAACTCAAGAACAATCTGACAGTATCCGCTCCCTTCTCAACCCAACCACAAAGATGGATGATCTTTCCTCGGCAGACTTTGTAATCGAAGCCGTGCCGGAAATTCCCTCTTTGAAATTCTCAATCTTCAGTTCTCTGGCCCAAATCTGCCCTCCTCATGCCATCTTGGCTACAAACACATCCTCCATATCCATTACTCGGATCGCCGCATCAACAACTAAAGATCCCAAAGATACCAGTGCTTCCTCTCGAGTAGTTTCAACACATTTTATGAACCCAGTCCCTATTCAGAAGGGTGTAGAGATTATCACTGGGTTACAGACGAGCCAAGATACATTGGATGCAGCCATTGAATTCTGCAAACGAATGGGCAAAATCCCATCAACTTCAGCAGATTCCCCCGGATTTTTGGCAAATCGGATTTTGATGCCTTATATCAATGAAGCCATAATCTGCTTGGAGACTGGTGTTGGTAAAAGAGATGACATCGATGCGATAATGAAGAACGGAACCAATGTTCCCATGGGGCCATTGCAATTGGCGGACTTCATTGGCATCGATACATGCTTAGCAATTATGAAAGTATTATATGAGGAGACAGGAGATAGCAAGTATAGACCTAGTGTACTCCTGGGGAAAATGGTAGATGCGGGATGGCTAGGAAAGAAAAGCGGAAAGGGGTGAGTTCTTCTTTTCCCTCTGCGTTCCATAAATGAATGGTGTACTGATCTTCTGATGATAGATTCTATGATTATTAAATGAGAAATAATGTTCACGACTAGGTATAAGTCAACGCAAAATGGACTTGGAGCTTTATGATCAAGCGAATAAGATTCTGGGTATCTTGATTCCTAACATCACTACTTCTACAGAGGATAGTGAAGTTAATGGATGATATTTCGCACCTCTTCACTAAACCCACATCAGGACTCTGCTTTACTTAGCACGCAATGCTCATACTTGGTGAAACTCTTTGCAGTATTTGAATAATATTGAAATTTTTAATCCAAATGAACTTAAGATAGATCGTAGCGTTCTATCTGATTTCTAATATTCGTTCTATCTAAGTTTAAAAACCATGCTCCTAAGTCGTATTTTCGCTTATTTGTACCCCCCGATGCCAATGCCATATTCACTCAAACATTGAAGTTCTCTAGCCAATCCTCAGCCGACAGACAATCTATCATAATCCATTTGTTGCAAATCTGCTTCGGGGCCAAAAGCCTACAAACTATCTATAACTTAAGGGTTATTGTAGGTCTGTAAATACCCAGAGTTGGTCTACGGAGATGCACAAATTGACTTTCCGTCGAGACTCATTTTCGTTCTGGGCATTCACTCAATTTTTCGGTATCTCAACCAATCTCCGTCCGTTATCTTCTATGTTGATTCTTTTGTTGCATATCTGCTTCGGGGCTTGGAGCCTGTAGCTCATACTTACTTGTAGGGCCCGGGGATTAGCTTGGAATGTTCATGCGTAGAGTCAGGGAATGGGCTAGTAATTACATGTCATATAGCATACTTTAGTGAAGTCTCTAGTTCAAGTCACATTGTATCATATCAAATTGCACATCACACATCACATATCACAGCAGACCAGAAAAGACAAAGTTATTCAACTTCCACACAATGATATTGCCACTCCACGATTCAGATATCTACAAGTGATTTCCCGCTCTTCGGCTTATCCTTTTCCTTCCCCCCAGAAGCTTTCCAACCGCCGATCCCCTCTCAATTCCTTGTCCGGCTCCAAGCACCAAACCCAACCGATTCTGGATTCTTTCCCTCACTCAGTAAAAATCCCTAATATCAAACCAACCCCTTTGGGTTAAAAAAGATAAGAAGTGAAACAAAAAAACAAGAAACATAGACAAGAAGTTCAAAATCCAAGATCCAGCTAAACCATTAAGAAGCTCCAAACAAAAAAATTGCATACCATTTATACACTGATAAGAAGCGAATATCTCAAAAAGAAAAGAAGAAGAAGAAGAAATAAAAAAAGACTTTGCTTTGTAGTTATCCCCAATCCCTATTTCCCAAACCTATGAAAATACTCCTGAAGAAGAAAAACGTGATATAAAAACAATGCCGGATAGTATCTCCTAGAAAATACAAAGAAGAAGGGGTAAAGGTAAAAGCTGTAAGTCGAAGGTCGAAAGGTAGAAATGATGTCGGATTCCTGTCCGTCCCAGCGTTGGGAGAAACTTCAAAAGTGTAAGAAGTATGTATTGAAAGTATATATAAATATGTGTATGCACGAGTATCTGAACGATCCATACGTATATAGCATGAAAGCGCTGCAATGAATTTGAAGGTTGGTCTGACGTTGAAATGGGAGATGATTGAGGAGGGATTTTGGTGGTTGTCATGGGTAGGGTGAAGTGAGGTGGTTTCTCATCTTCTTGTGAGAAAAGGGATGAACTCTATGCTCTGTTCTTTGTGCAAATCGCAATGCCTGTAAATGAATCGTGATCTCCGGAAGCAAAAACTTTTGTATGCACACAAATATCGAAGATTGAAAATGAGCGCCAGACAAATTTCTTTAGGACATATGAGAAGGGGCATAAGTTCCAGGCATGGTAAAGCTTCTTTTGCGGTTATCTTTTGCTTGGAATTCATTGGGTCGAAGATACGATGAACCGTCGCTGTTGTTTCTTTGTGGTTGATGTTCAGGCTGTACATGGCTTTGAGCATGCTGCTGCTCTTGGCCTTGGGAGCTGAATTCTCGCTCATTTTGTGGAGCTCTGGATGCGTTGTACGCGTTTGCGAAATCTTGCGGTGGTGCCATTGGTGCACTTAATTGTGGATGGTTTGCGTCGCTTGGGGTTCGAGGAAGGGAGAACTCCATTGGCGCCGTTAAAGGCGCGCTGGCAAAACCTGCTGAGTATGAGGGCGCGAATGGGCGGGAAGTAGGAGGTAGGTGTGATGGACCTTGATGGGGGAGAGGTCGGTATTGATTGCGTAGGTCAAGACCTTGCGGGAAAGCACCGCCAGTGGATGCTCGCATGCGGGACATGGCAGCTGGTGAAGACTGTTGCAAAGATGATGGAGGATGCGACGATGAATAGCTCATGTGTTGTGGTGAATTTTGAATGTTAGAACCTATCAAAATGGTCAGTCTTTCATCTAGTTTTGTCTGCAAGGATGGAACGAACTTGGGTAAGAGTTTGACTCAAATTGGTGCGCATTGACCGCGTTATTCTGCTCGGGCTGGTACATTGATTGTTGACGTCCAGTCGATTGAGGACTTGGTTGTCCAGTTGGATAATTGGCGTAATCTAAAGTTTCACCTTTCCAAGACATACTGGATCTCAATGGCGACTGAAGTGATTCTGATCGCGATCTTGACATTGTCTCTCGAAGCTGTAATGGTTGTAATGGTCGGCCGCCGTGATGTCTTTGCTGGGAATGGGAAACAGCTTGATAACCCGGAGGTGGTCGATCAAACGGATTCGAGCTCCTTGGCCCTGAGCTCATTGGACTCGAAAGATGGCTGGAGAAGTATCGATCGGACGAATTAATGGACAATGGCGAAAGAACGTCAGGTGTGCCAATGGAACTTCCTGGTGTATATCCAACATGTCCATATCCAGGGCTCATACCCGCCGGCGACATATGGTCATCTTGTTCATGTCTGCGCATCGTGTCTACCATCATAGGCCGTATCATATGATCCGCGTAATTTGGCACAAAATCGACGGGCGATTGCATTGGTGTTCCAATACCGTGTACAGCTCCGTAAGGAGAATGTAAAGCCTGTACGTTGTCGAAATCATCTGGTACAGCTCTCATCTTCATCATTCGCTCTCGGTCATCCGCAGTAAGTCTCTTGATCTTTGCACGTCTGCTTCCGTTAGTCCACATTTTTCGCTCAGATTGGGTTGAATTTGCATACCGGTTCTGGAACCATACCTGCACTTGTCTTGGACTAAGGCCTGGAATTTCTCGTGACAAACGCTCGCGATGAGCAGCATCTGGGTGAGCTTGTTTCGCGAACTCACTCATAAGGAATCGAGTCTGTTGATGAGTGAGACTGCACTAGTTAGTTTTTATGTCACAACAAATACGTAAACCGAAATCAACATACCGAAATCGTTTCATCTTCCTGCGTTCAGCTCTGCGCTCTGCCGCTGTCTGTGGCGTTGATGAAGTTCCATCTTCATTATCTAGCATATCGTCGTCGTCATCAATGTCGTCATCGTCTTCTTCCTTGGGACTTAGGAGAGTTGACGCGTCTTCATTCATGAGTGCTCCTGCTCCTTGTTGTGGTG